TGCCCTCCAGCTGGGCCCTGGAAGGGGTGGGGGGAGGAAGGGGAGGGCTCTATGGTAACCCTGGGAAGAGAATGCCCTCTCTCCTCATCTGCATACAGACGGGCTCATCTGCATACAGACAGGCCTCATCTGCATATGCTCAGTGGGACTCTCAGGACACATTCCGAAATGTCCCGCCTGGGCCCTCCCACCTTAGTCCAGGCATCCCGATGAAGGGGCCCCTCCCTGCCCCTTCTGTCCCTGTCTGAGTCTGGGTCTTTCTGCTTCCAACAAGTAGTGTCCCTGCCCCCCACCGGCCATCGTCGTGCCCTCCTCCCACCTGCTGCCCCCCTTGCCCCGCTTTCCTGGGCCCTCCTGTCCCAGCTCCATCTAAAACCGGGGCCACTGATGTCCCCAGCTGCCTGCCCCTGCTCAGATCCCCCAGCACCCACGAAGATTGATTCTTGGGCTGCAGGGTCCAAACAAAGGCAGGGGATGGGATGGGCAGCCCCGAGCTGCTTCCTCTGCTTTCCAAAGGCCAGCCTCTGCCCCCATTCACCCTTCACCCAGGGTCCAGCCCCCCAGGGCTGTGCTTGCTGGGTCCCAGCCAGGTTAGGCAGAGGGGGCTGGGAACCTCCAACGTACTTCCCTGAGCCTAAGAGGCTGGGCCACACCAGATTGTGATGCAAATGAGACCCACACTCAGAGTCACAGCTCCACCTCCGCCAGGCCCCCAGCCCCAGAGCCTGTGGGGAACCCTGGGAATCCTCCTTCCGGCATGCAGGCTGGGGGGCCCTGGATTCTGCTCTGCCTCACTGAGGACCCCCTTCTCTGCCTCAGCTTTCACGTAAACCCAGAGCAGAACTAGAGGAAACCATATCAAAGGTAACCCCACTGCCATCCAGCAGGCTGTGCCAGCTCTGAGCAATCTGTCCTGTGGGACAGACTAGAACTGCCCTAGGATGCCCAAGGCTGCCAACCTTTTTTTTTTTTTTTAATTTAAGTCCTTTTATTGGGGACTCTCACAGTATAACAATCCGTAAATCAATTATATCAAGCGGGCTTGCACATATGTTGCCATCATCATTTTCAAAACATTTTCTATCTACTTGAGCCCTGATTGTCAGCTCCTCTTTTCCTACCTCCCTCCCCCGCCTTCCCACCCTCCTGAACCCTTGATAAGTTACATATTACTGTAAGATAAGCCTCATAACTTACAGCGTCTGCTGTCTCCCTTCACCCACGTTTCTGTTATTCGTCATCGGGGGTGGGAGGGGTATACAATCATCATTGCTATCAGTTCCCCCTTTCCCCACTCCCCCTACTCGCATGGTGTCCACCATTCCCGAGGGATTTATCTGTCCTGGATTCTGCGTGTCAAGGGCTCTTATCTGTGCCAGTGCTCTTGCTCTGGTCTAGCTGGATTTGTAAGGTAGAACTGGGGTCATGGTAGTGGGCAGGGAGGAAGCATTAAAGCACTAGAGGAATGTTGTGTGTTTCCTCAGTGCTGTATTGCAACCTGGCTGGCTTGTCCCTTCCTTGTTGTGACCCTTCTGTGAGGGGATGTTCGATTGTTTACAGATGAGCTTTGGGTCTCCACTCTGACCCCCTCGTTTGCATTGATATGTTGTTTGGTTTTGATCTTCTGATGCCTGATCCTATCGACACCTCTGATCGCACAGGCTGGTGTGCTTCTTCCATGGGGGCTCTGTTGCTTCCCAGCTAGATGGCCGCTTGTTTAACTTCAAGCCTTTAAGACCCCAGATGCTATATCTTTTAATAGCCCGGCACCATCAGCTTTCTTCACCACATTGGCTTATGCACCCATTTTGTTTTCAGCGATTGTGTAGGGAATGTGAGCATCACAGAATGCCAGGTTATTAGGGTCACAAGGAAGGGACAAGCCAGCCAGGGTGCAGTACAGCACCGAGGAAATACAACAAAGTGTTCTTGTGTTGAAGGAGGACTTGAGTAGAGGCCCAAAGTCCATCTCCTACCTTAATACTTTAACATGTAGATATACGTACATAGACCAATACCCCTATCATTACATAGTAATATATTTACCTATATGCATGCCTAGATTTATACCTCTGGAATTGTCTTTTGCCTCCAACTTCTTTCTTTTTTTTTTTTAAATCATTTTATTGGGGGCTCATACAACTCCTATCACAATCCATCCATCCATCCATTGTGTCAAGCACATTTGTACATTTGTTGCCAACATCATTCTCAAAACATTTTCTTTCTACTTGAGCCCTTGAGATCAGCTCCTCATTTTTCCCCCTCCCTTCCCACCCCCTCCCTCACGGACCCTTGATAATTTATAAATTATTATTATTATTTTTTCGTGTCTCACACTATCCAACGTCTCCCCTCACCTGCTTTGCTGTTGTCCATCCCCCAGGGAGGGGGTTATATGTAGATCCTTGTGATCGGTCCCACCTTTCTGCCCCCCCTATCCCTTCCCCTCCTGGTATCGCCACTCTCATTATTAGTTGCCTTAGTTGCCTCCTAAGTCTTCCCTCTCTTTCCTTTTACTTTCCTCCTGCCCCACTATCATGTTGGACCTTCTTGGGCTCTCAGTAATTCCTCTCGGTTACATTACAATTGATCAGGCCCCACCAGGCCTCCTACACCCTCCTCACTGTTGATTTTAGATCCCTTGTTGTTCCCTTGTCCCTGAGTTTGTTGGCTCCCCACTCCCTTTCCCTGGCCCCTCCTCTGCCATGACCCACCCCGACCATCAGTCCCATTGCTTTCTCCTGGGGATTGTTTATCCTGCCCATCTTATATAGATAGACATATAAAAAATAAATTTAAAAAATTGTTAAGTAAAACTTTTTTAAATAATAAGGGGAAACAATGTCAAAGCCTAGAAATAAACAGTTCCAGTTCTATCAGCTGACTTTTATGAATGTCTTCCAACCAGGTCTGGTGGGGTTTCAAGTACTGCTCCCCCAAGTCAGAAGTCTATTTTCTGGATCCCTCGGGGACTTCATGACTTTGCCCCCCATGCTGTTCTGGTGTGCTCCCTTCGTGGTTCGCCCCACTGTGGGGGGGGTCAGACCAGACACACTTCCAGCAAAGTGTTGCCCCGTAAAGGCTGCCAACCTTTATGGAATCAAAGGGCCCCCTCCTCCTCCCCCAGAGAAGCTGGTGGGTTGAAGCTCCTGCCAGCCTTGGGGTTAGTAGGTGTGAGCTTCACCAATGTGTCACCAGGCTGCTCTGAACCAGGTGACCAGGTGGCCCTTTATGTGAGTGACCGCGGGAGGGCACAGTTGCAGGAGAAGCCAGCATCCCTGATGATGGCTCCACCCCCTTCAGTTTCAGAGGCAGCTCCCTTTTCAACCTTGTCTGTGAGTGTTCAGGAGCCTACCTGACCCCAGCTCAGACTCCTGCTCCACAGGAGCGGTGACTGCTGTGCTGGGTGTCACAGGGAAGTGTGTCTGTGTGTCTGTGTATATGTGTATGCGTATGTATGTGTGTGTATATGTGTGTGTGTGCGTATGTCTGTGTATATGTGCATGTTTGTATGTGTGTGTGTATGCATGTGTGTATGTATTTGTGTATGTTCATATGTGTGTATATGTAAGTGTCTATGTGAGAGAGAGAGAGAGAGATCTCCTCTCACTTGGGTGCAGGTGGACACTCAGGAAGCACATGGGCACCAGGGCCACCCTCCAGGAAGGGTGCTGGGTGTCTGGGTATCTGGGTGTCTGGAGAGGGGCCAGGAGGAAGGAGATGTACTTTCCCCTTTGTTGTGAGATTTGTGTCGTGTGTATGTTTTTATTTAGAAACGTTCCCAGTTTCAGGCTGTTTCCATGGAGAGACGGCGGTGGGATGGGAGAAAGGACTTTCTGCAGGATGGTGGGGCATTTGAACAGGGCTGGAAGCCTGGGCTATGGGAACACTCCCACAGGGTCTCTCTGGAGAGGGGGCTGTCTCCTGGGGACTGTGTGGGAGTCTCCTGGGGACTGTCTCCTGGGGACTGTGTGGGAGTCTCCTGGGGACTGTCTCCTGGGGACTGTGTGGGAGGCTCCTGGGGACTGTGTGGGATGCAAGTGTGAGTCCCTTCTGGCTGTGGCTGCCCTGTTCCTCGGGTTTCGTCCTCGAAAAACTCACTGCCATGGAGGGGGCCCTCTAGGGCAGGCACCTTTGGGTTTCTGAGACAGGAGCAGAAAGCCCTTCTTTCTCCTGCTGAGCAGCTGGTGGTTTTGAACTGCTGACCTTGCCAGTAGCAGCACAATGTGCAACCAGCACACCACAAGGGCACTTTAGGTTCCTTCCTGAAAGGAGCCAAACTCACTGCCCTCGAGTTGATGCCGACTCATAGCGAGTCCGTAGCACAGGATGGACCTGCCCCATGGTGTCTGACGAGAAAGCATCCTTTTGCCTTGCGCTTGCAGCCCATCACATAACCACTAGAGTCAAAGTAAATGAGCATAGACCTATACTAATGGCATACTCCACGGGGAAAGCCCCGACACTGGTAAGAGTCCCTTCCCGGCTCTGATTATTGCTGTTATCCAACCTACCTGCTATCTAACACGAATCCTTCTTACTAAATATCCCCTTCTATTTTCCCTGTGGGTGGGCATGGGGGAGCGGGTGGACTTGTAGGGGAGGGAGCTCCCTCTCTGTGCTGTTTGAATCAGGAGGGTCAGTTCTGAGGAGGGCCACCCGTGACCTGGCACACAGCAGTCAGTCTGGAGGGTGCAAGCAGCACCTCCTACCAGTCTCTTGCTCCTTGGGAGGGCACATGGCTGAGGGGTGCACAAGCATGCTCTTGGAGTTGGGGCTGACCGCTCACGGCTGGAGTTCTCCAGGGCCTTGGGGTGGCTGAGAGAGGGGGGCAAGTACACGGGGCATGCCAGCCCTTCCCCGATGAGCGGAAGTCCGTTGTAGTGAAGCTTTCCCAGCTGGGTGTTGGCTCCCACCCCTCCCACCCCCTCAGTGCAGGGCCCCCCATTCAGGCCCTTCCCACCCTCCTGAGCCACCCCTGTCACAGGATCGTGGTCCAATGTGCAACAGTCTTTATTAGCTAGGAGATGGGACTTCCATGCAGGGGACCGCGAGGGCCCGGCTGGGACGACACGAGGTGGGTGGGGCGGGCGAGGACAGGCAGCGAGCACACACTCGGGCGCCATGGGTCAAGCAAAGTCTCTGTCAGCCGACCTCGGGGGTCATGGGCAGTCCAGGCTGGCGGCTGGAATCTCCTGTTCGCTCTGCTCCGTCCGATCCGGCCTGGAGGAGCTGGTCCACTGCCTGGACCCTCCGGGAGGGCTTCTCCCAGGAACCCAGCCAGGCAGGAGGAACAGCGTCTTCTTGCAAATCTACTAAGAAAAGATGTGAAAAGGGAAAATGAAGATACTCTTTGGTTGAAGAACATGCCAGGAACTGGGGGACGGGCTTGTAGGGAGAACCCCTCAACTGGGAAAGGGGACCACCTGGGGAAGGTCCACTAGGAAGGCTGATGTAGGCGTCTCTTCTGGGCTTTGTCATCAGGCGCGGGGCAGAGGGTGAACGGGTCAGGTGCGCTCGGGCCCAGGGGCACTCAGATCCTAAGCATGTGAGAGATTAGAAGAGCTTGGGAGGCAGGGTGGAGGCTGCCCTTGGGAGGATGGTAGTGACCTCCTCCCCAGCCCCGTGACCTCCCGTTCCCAGTCCTGTCTTAACCCTCCAGGATGGTTTTACATTCCTCAGATTCCATCCCTGTACCCCAGGCCTCACCCTGCCCTCCAGTGAGTGCCCTGGTGCCACTCAACTGCCAGGGGAGGCTTGGACCTGCCCAGTGGCCACGGCAGGAAAGACCCGGGGTCTGCTCTCCATAGGACGCCCATCAGGGCAGTGCCCCTATGTCCCACCGCGTGGTTCTGAGCTGGAATCAACCTGGTGGCACACAACACCAGCTGGCCCTCTCTGTGACCCTGACCGCCCCTGGCTGAGTCCTGTTGGGGGCACAGTCGGTGGAAGGAAGGCTCGGGGGTGGGGTGTGGGGTGTGTGGGGGGTGAGGGGTGGGAGAACTCAAGCTCTGGGGTCCATGGAAACACTGCCGTCAACACCTAGCGACCCTCCGGGCAGGTTAGCATGCCACCCAGTTTCAGGCCTGTTGGCAGGTTAATGGAGAGAAGGGCTAAATACAAGGTGACCAGATTTTAACATTGGTAAAGCGGGACAAAAGCGGGACACCATTGATAAAACTCCTTTCCTGGCAAAATAGCCACATGGCAGCTGAAAACCATATACCCTAGCTTGTCGTGCATTCTTTCCAAAAATCGGGGCTTTTTAAAAACGCTGCGGGACAAATTGTTAAAAATCGGGACTGTCCCGGCAAAAGCGGGACGTCTGGTCACCTTAGCTAAGAAAGACCTTGTCCAGCAAGGTGGGTGCTGGGTCAGAGGCAGGTCCCTCCTTGCTTGGGTGGGGAAGCTGCGTCCAGAGAAGATGAGGGAGACCAGGCGAGCCCTCCACACCCCGTTCCCTTGACTCCCCTGTTCCCGAGTGACTGGGGAGGCCAGGGCTCTGCAGCTCTGGAGGCCCCAGGGTTAGCTTGTCTTCCAGAAGCTCACCTCCCCCACTTCTCCACTGGATGCCCAACACTCACATCAGCCTTGCTTCCTCCCCGTGCACCCCCAACCCCCACCAAATGCCCACTTTTGCCCAGTGCCCACTTGTGGGCAGTGGGCATGGGAGGTTAGCCTGGCCCACTGTACTGGGAGCTCTCCAAAGGTAAGGACTCTCCCCTCCAGACCTGGGGGCCTAGAAGCCTGTGTCCCCGAGGGCTGCTGGCCTCTTTCCTGGCTGCATGGGTTCCCACGAAGACACTGGGGTGAGTCAGCCGCTCCTTAAGAAAAATAAACCAAACCCACTGTCCTGCAGTCCCCACGCCCCACCCCCACCCCCGTGGGTGAACCGCAGCTCCTTAGGTGGGACCAGGGAAGGAAGAGAGCCCCTGTCGGTGGTTTCGAACCCCAAGCTTGTGGTTGGCGTCCCAGCTTGCAACCCTCTGCACTCAGCTCCCTTCCAGATGCCCCACGGCCCAGGAGCCAGATCCCTGAGGCTGGCAGGACTGGGGGCAAGGGCAGAGGAGCCGCCTGTCTGTCAGGGCTGGGGCAGGGCGGGGTGGTGGGTGAGGCTCAGCACGTGGCCCTCCCCTCGTGGGGGAGGGGGCGTCCAGATGGAACTGTCTGCCTGTCCCGCCCTCCCCAGCCCAGACGGAGCCAGGATCTCCTAGCAACCGTAC